CCCCGCGCGTGCAATTCTCTTGGACTTGGACCGTCCTTCGGATTGATTTACGCCGCTCGACGTGGCTCGGCGCGGCTCGGCTCGGCTCGATGACGAAAAAGGCGGACAACGAGGATGGAAGAAAGCGGTCGGCGGGTATAGTGCGCCGACCCGGGTCGCCTATTCGACTTTTTCCACTGACGGCGACGGCGGTGGCGGCGACGATGGTGGTCCTCTTCTGCTACGGTTTCGCGGCTGACCTCCCCGTGACCCGTTCTGCAATGCGTCAGCTGTTCTACGCGCCGCAATGCACGCTCTTCTACCGCCGCCACCGCCGCCGCCACCGCTGGCATGTATCTACAGTCCGCTCTCGCACGTTCTACATCCGTTCTCTCAGAGCTTCTCTCTCGTGCCGGATACATTGGACGTCATTCGCGAAATGTATTTTCTAGAGATATTTTTGCGGAGGCAACCGCGTTCGATTATTCCTCACGAGAAAATGGCCACTGACAGCTATCGAAATTTGACATGTGTCAAATGTCAAGTATAAGCATTAATAATAAATACGCAGAAAAAAATGGCATTCTTGTTTTGAAAATATATTTAGTTTTAACATGGAAATCTTGAAATGAGATTATATTGTGTTAATTAAAGAAAAATATAATTGCTTGAATAATTGCTTACTTGAATGAAGCCATTTTACATAGTTCAATCAAGAAAAATATATTCTTATGATTTAAGATTTAATTTTCTTGAATGGAAAAGAAATAATGTTAGATAGGAAATAACATTTTTAAATCAAAGATTATAATTTTCTTAAAGTAGAATTAAATAATTATATATTCTTGAGATGACAATTACAATATTAAAATAAGACTATAATATTGTTGAAATTATTAAGTTTAAAATTATTAAATTCTTTTAAGAAGATTATAAATTATTGCGTATATACGAAACAATGAACGCGTTAGTTTAAGTATATAAGTTTTGATTTGACACTTATTTTTTTCTGTGTATGCTCCTGGACAAAATTAACGCATAATTTTTTTTCACTTTTTTTAAAATGCTGATATTTAAGTTTTAATGAAAAATTTTAAAGAAAAAGTAAAAAGCAATTATGCGTTAATTTTGTCCAGGAGTATAGAAGATTATTCTACATTAAGAACATTAGAGATATTTAAAATTACGAAGGTGCGAAATTTGCCTGTGATTTAGTATCGCCAAAGTTGTTAGGGTTTGACTATTTCAAGCGGGCTAATAATCGTTTTTGCTATATACATCGATGACGTCAGAGCGATATTTCTCTGACTAAATATGCTCTCGTGAAAGCACACAGACCGGAGAAACGGAAACTAAAATCAATTTAAAACTTGGACATAGAGACTGTTTGCTGCATCATCGATTAAAGTATCACTATCCGCGAAAACAGGGGAATTACATTGAGTAATTAGCTACATAGTACACATATACACAGTATATACATGTCATACTATATTCATTTCCGTTTCACAATAAAAGACACGAGTAGATAGACCGAGTAGATATTGCGAAATCTATCTTCCCAATTCTATTTTAAATCATTTTACATTCCGCATAGTTTCGTAAGAACGAAAAATTTTATATTAGATTTTCTCGCTTCTGACGTCATTGATGCATATAGTTCCATCGTATCACTGGTAGCGCAATAGTAATTTCCGCATGGAAAACAATCGACTTTATTTCGCTTGTTGAAATCTTACGTAATAGCAGAAAACTTATACGATTTTATCGATGAGATTTCTGAAAATAACTTTGATTTATCAATTAACTGTAAAAAGAGGAAATATTTATTCGATTATCGCATATCTTTTAAATATGTTGTTGGTTGCTTTTCCCTGCCAAGTGGGATGAATATTTTTTTAAGCACCAATAAATTGCGAGTGAGATATTGAGTGCTATTATCAAATTCGTAACACTATTGATTTCGATAACAGAGACATATCCGGGCGCAATGTATCGGAAATTGGGAAATAAGTCTTATTACGATTTATATTTCCAAAGTCATAAGAGGGGAAATATGTGACTTATTATGATTTAAAATTATTTAATTTTTATTGTATAAAGCTTAGCTTGTAAATGTCATCATTTTTATCACATTTTTAATTGTGGTTCAAACAAATCATTTCTCTTTTGCTTCAATTTTTTCGTTTCAAACAAAACTATTTTATTGCTTCACGGTTGCGACCACTGCTTTGGATACGGTTGCCACAACGTGTTATAATAATTCGTTTTATGCCCTTTTTACATGCATCACGCGTATTTTGTGGTGCGTAACATAGCACAAAGTGCAAAAACAACTTAATGTCAAACTCAAGAAAATCGATGGGCCTTGTGCTAAAAGTTAATGACGACTTCTGACTTAAACCAGCGTTGCATTACTCTATTTTGCGCAATAATATTTTGCTGCACTATATGTTTGATTCATGGCGTGTGATAGGGCTTAGAATACATATTCACGTACGGATTATTTTACGTTTGCAAACATAATAAAAAGATTTGAGCTATTAACAAGACACGCGTTGGAAACCAAAGTTTTATAAGATTTTAGAACCTATTTATCCAAATTCTTTCATCGAAATGAGATTTTAATAATATTAAAAAATTATAGAAATTTTAGTTTGACGATTAACTATTGACAACTCATGAAATATCGAAAGGACAAAGCTATCTATTTGTATCTGATGATGATTGCTACGCAATATGAACATCTTGGATTTTCGCTAGCAATTTGGATCGGAATAGAACTACCATAACGGATTACATGAAATTACAATGAAATTACATGTAATAGATGGAGGAAATTTTATTTCCTCTAAACGAGGACAAGGAAATCTAAAATATCTAATTGATTGTGCAATTGTCATCTATTTGCTGATCTATCGTTACAACACACGATAAACACTCGATAAGAGACATGATTACATTTACAGATTATACGATAACTAAAAATACGAGGTCAGATTGTGACACGCGAAGAGCCAGATTGCTACTAATTAGCCTGCAACCTTTTCGCAATCGATAATTTTACATATAAAACTCTTATCGACGTAATCTCGCGGAGCAACCCAATCTACATGTTTTATTTTCGATGCATTTTTGATCGAAATGTAAAAATGTGTAATCGATTTGTTCAATGAATGGACAGACTTGCCACAAATTCTATTTCATGGAAGTAGGTCTCGTCCAAAGACACTTCCCGGAAAACGTCAGCGAAACAAGTCGACTATTGAGCGACGGAGCTTTCGATTTTCGCATCGTATGACACACAACACACTCAGCGAATATTGCGTTTTGCATATCTCGAGTGGCTGTCACCTAGCATTATCGACATGTTTCCTCTGGACGGGCAACATTATCGTAACAAGCGGATATTATAACATTATACCCGTCGCATGTTACCTTGGGATGCGTTCAACGTGAAAGTCGCGGGAAACTAATTCAATTTTTCTCACTACATAGCTCTTGCTCACCTCGCTTGATAAGATTAAATCTGCAGTTATGTTGATCAAAGTGAAAAAATTATAGATTGTCAAAGGATAGCAAATAACATCAGGTTTCAATTATTTATAATAAAGCCTAGATTATAAATCTACCCTGTAGCTTTGTCTTCAATTGTCATTTACAGTTTAAAAAAATAGCTTTATTGACTTTGAAAATTTTTATAGATTATACAAACTTGAATTTTTTGAAGAAATAGATTTTGATTTTGACAGACTGCAAGAATTCCAATTAAAACAATTATATTATATTTTCTAAATTCATGTTTAAGAGAAAATCAAGATATGTATTATAATTAAGGTGATATCTAATTATGAATTGATAGATTTACATTATTAAAGAATACAGAGAATTGAATAGCTCAATAATCAAATATTCTTTACGACATCGGAGAACTCGGGGAAGAATTAATATTAAACCCAGATATGATTATACCTAACGTTAATGAATATTTAAGTAGTAAACGTACATATATCTTTATACGAAGAGCTTTAGGACTTGTTAAATATATTTTGACTCATTAAGATGTACATATGTAACAATGGCCGGATAATATGTTTTGTTCAGAAACTAAAGCTACAAAGTAAACGAAAAGTTGAATGGAAATTCAGAGAAAAAGATTCAGTGAGCAGCAATGATTTTGAGAATGAATCAGCTGGAACAATGCTATAGATCTATATATGCGTTCAGGGCTAAAGCAATATGAAAGTTGAGGTTGCGAAGCTTCTACTAGCTCTAAATATAGCAAATACTTTTGTAGGGTCAAATCAATAGACATATGCTGTGCATATAATTGTTTAAACGTTTCATAAATTATGATCTTTCTCAGATTATCTAAAATATACCTATTACAGCCACCTGCTTTTTTCGCGAATACGTGTAATCATGTAATTTGTCAAGTTAATGTTCTAAATTTGACGTGATGTGGCCACAATCATAAATTATTTTTGGCACGAATATGATTCTCCTCGCGCTTTCTCTATCTTCGATCGTCTCGTGATATATATGATCGAGGAGGTCAAGTTCGAAGGAAAGACTTTCGATTACGACTTACACGTCGAATATTAATAATACACTTACATGATTATTTCACGCAATCAATCTAATCTATATTCTATTCATAGATTACTTATTGCACGATTTAATGCAAACAATCTAAATTTGTCTTCAAAAAGTCAAACAGGCCTTGTACTTAGTGACTATAAATCGCTAAATAATTCAGGTATAACAGATGGAACATAAAGTACTTAATGTTCACTCGTCTACTTAAGGCATAACATTATGCAACAAAGAACTATGAAAAGCAACGTAACATATACTCCGGTTTGTAAGTCCATTTACAATTTTTACTGTCGTAATTTACTTTTGAAAAATGAGTGTCGTTACGTTAGAAGACACATTGAAACATTGATTGTGGGAGTCATTCTCGAAAGTAACATGGGAAAAGCTGTGACTGACTTACTGACAAATCATATCTATATCAGTTTCAGTGCATATCTTATCTGCGGCAAAGTCGGGGACACCGTGTTGCAGTCCGGTTGTCGGATGTGGTGCACGCAATCGGCGGCTACGGATACGACAGCGGTAGCGTCATCTGCGCCGGAGACAGCGGTCCGGAACTCGAGCGATCTGGCAGGTGAAAAGGTATATTGCATGAGAAGGGGAGATTGCCGGTGATGGACAATGAGCAACCGCACCAGGAACTGGTCAAGTGCGTGGTCGTGGGTGACACGGCAGTCGGAAAGACCAGATTGATCTGCGCCAGGGCCTGCAACAAGCACGTGTCGTTGTCGCAGCTCCTGACAACTCACGTGCCCACGGTCTGGGCTATCGACCAGTATCGGATTTACAAGGATGTGAGTTTGCGAGAAAAACCACGTAACATATAAATTATAAATATAAATTATATATTAGAAAAAACAATTTGCCTATATTTTAGATTAAATATTATTGTAAAATATAATATTAAAATATCAGATAAAATAATTTTAAAAATATCTACTACTGAATTGAAAATTAATTATTAAAATGATTAAATATGAAAAAAATTCAGAAACTTCACTAAGGCAAGAATTTATATTAAATTATGTAATTACAGATATATCTGTTATTAATTTTCTTAGAGATATGCAGTGATATGAATAAAATATGATGTATAATATGATACGCGCCAGGTGTTGGAGCGATCTTGGGAGGTAGTAGACAATGTAAACGTGTCGCTACGTCTTTGGGACACATTTGGCGATCACGAGAAGGATCGACGTTTCGCATACGGCAGGTAAAATCATCGTCGAGCGTAATTTCAGCGCGAATCGATATTAATCGAAGAACCTTGCCAGGTCTGACGTCGTGTTACTATGTTTCTCCATAACCAACCCCGTTTCCTTGCGAAACTGCAAGGTGATGTGGTATCCCGAGATAAGAAGATTCTGCCCGCAAACTCCGGTCTTATTGGTCGGATGCAAAAACGATTTGCGGTACATGTACCGGGACGAGACTTATCTCAGCTACTTCCGCGATCGCAGTCCTTTTGTAAGGTAAATTATTTCTTTCAAGAAGTTTTAGAGAAGAGAGAAATTAGAAAATTAGAGAAAAATTTAAAGAGTATACAATAAAAGTTTTTTAAAGAATTAAAAAAATTTTACACACATTCCTTCAACATTAAAAAATTTGTTAATTTTTATTTTTTTCAAAAATTTTTTAAAATTAAATTTTTTAAATTTCTATTTCTCTCTGTTTTAAATATTACAAATTACAAAATTTAATGTTTCGATATATAAGATTTTTTAAGTTTAATAATTTAATTTTAAAAAGTAAATTCTTCGATATAAAAAATTGATTACTCTATAAAATATATAAAAAGCAATTTTTTAGAAACCCAATCCAAACACATGTACCACTTAATTATTCTAATCGATTAGTCGCTTTTTTTGGCTACAAAACAAAACTCCCGTGTTCAAAGTCGATTTTTTAATCTCGTGTAAAACTCATTCAATCGCATCGGTGCTCCTTCAAAGACGGGTTTACTGAATTGTACCAAAGTATTGATCTCAGCGAGTTCTCTTCGTAAACTTTCTCGAAATCTTTTACTGGCAAAAATATTCATTACGATCAGCTTATGCGACATATGAAATTTATCGTGGAATATGAAATTTATGATGGCACTGTGGTCGATTGTGAAAAGCTTAAAATTCCCGATAAGTCGTCGTGTAATCGGGTCGAGCCAAAATTAACCAAACCTTGACATACGGCGATTACTCCCTTGGGAGAAAGACTAAAAGTTCTCGTGACTTTTAATAAATCTTCCTCTTGTATACATTATCGGAATAATTCTACATTTTGATGATATCGATAATCATCGTTTTTGTATTATATTGCGAAATATATTAGGATTATGATCCCAAATTAATTTAAACAAATGTTAATTATTCACAGGGCTACAAGAAAAAGCGATCTAGTGATGCCAGATCAGGCACGGGCGGTAGCGCGAGAACTTGGTGTCTGCTATTACGAGACAAGTGTCTTCACTTATTATGGCGTAAACGAGGTGTTCGAAAATTCGATACGCGCCGCCTTGATCGCACGTCGTCAGCAACGTTTCTGGATGACGAATCTGAAGAGGGTGCAAAGACCTTTATTACAGGTAACGATATATAAATTATAAATTATATATAAATTGAATATCTCTATTTTATAATAAATTTATTTTCAAGAAACGGTAATAGGAAAATTTTTCGCATATTTTCGTAATCTTTAATGTTGTCTCAGGAATAAATATAAAATTAGGGATTGCTCGTTTCGGACATTAAGTTTAATTAATTAATTAATTAATTATTTGTAAGAATTATTCAAATTTTATTTAAAAATTCCTGAAATCGTCCGCTTTTTTTTAAATTTAGTATAGAACATTTTTTTAAGATTCTTGAATGTAACTTTTTAAAATAAGTTTTTTTATTGAATGTCTTCTACTGCTTTTCATTTATTCAAAAGAAAAATGAAGAACCATTTAAGTTTCAAGTGCTACAAACTTTCGTAAAATTTTTCGTAACACATTTTTCTTATTAAAAATTATAATAACAAATATATTCATATATAAATAGATATATATTTATAATATATTTTAAATATATATAATTTACAACCTGGTCAATCGATGAGTCGCCGATTGCTTATAATATAAGAACAAAATTATCAAAGAGAGAGAACTGTTTTTTTTTTAAATTCTTTGTGAATTCAAATAAAATTTCAGAATTACCTGATTTTTTCAGGTATAAAAAAATCCTCGAGAATTCCAAGTTCTTCATCTTTTTCCAGAGAATAAATCTGAATTAACGTTCAAGTCACATTTTATTCATATTAATAATTTTCCTTGACAGGCGCCATTTTGTCCGCCAAAACCAGTACCGCCGGAAGTATGCCTGGCTGCGAGTACCTATGAGGAGAACATGAAGAGCCTGTGGACGAGGCCAGTTCACACAGACGTGACTCTGATAGCTGGCAACTGCACGTTCTTGGCTCATCGGTGCTTGCTCGCCGCAGCGTCGCCGGCGTTTCATCGGTTATTCTCGATGGAACTCTCCCACGAACTGACACCGCGCAGCTCCAGCGAGTCCAGCATGGTATATGCCAGCTCTATCAGGTTCGGAGGTAGTAAACAGGATAACACAATAACACATGTTTCCCTTATTGTCTCGTCAAGGTGAGCACTTTCGGCGAGGCCACTGTCGGTGACTTCAACGACGATACCGAGTGCCTAATTCGTATCGATCAAAGCAAACCCGCAAAGTGAGTTAATCCTTCCTCGTATGTTTGACTCCTGCGTCAGTTAACCCTTTATTTGGCAAGTCGCAACTAACACGTTTACGAAACAGGTTCAATTCTGCGACAGATATTGCAACTAACGCATTAATGCATTAAACGTTGCTTGAGCTTAAGGCTAAGACGAGCTAACTTAGCTTAAGGCTAAGATGATGGAGAAAAGTGCGCATAATTAACAAACGTCATCATCATTGTAAAAATCCTACACACTGACATCATGCTTCAAGGCACTATTGCCAAATAAAGAGTTAAATGCAGCCCCCTTCCCTTAGCCTTTGCACGGTCTTTCAGTGTCGACATATTCCACGTTATAAGTAGCAACGGAACAGAGTTTATGATATTTCTGTAATGAGAAGTTTGTATATCTTTTTTCACGACAAGAGTCGCTCGCACAAATGAATAATATAAATTGCAGAGTTTGGGAGCAACTTAAGCGACGATCGAGTTTTCAAGTACTGCCGACGGTGGATAATCAGAGGAAAACTAACGGCGCGACGAGAGAGCTGAATCATCCTGCCTTCCAAAATATTCGTATATGTCTGGTGAGAATTTTAATCGCGAGAACTTGAGTGAAAAATCATCTTATAATTGAATCATCATGAATATTTTGCAGACTGAAAACGCGAACGGAGTACAACAGCCTATGACTGTGGTTACGCTATCGAAGCTGATCACTCCGCAGGCGATGCAGCAGTGCTTGCAATTCATTTATACGGGCTGCTTGGATAAACGGTATCACGATCTACAAGTACGTTGGATCGGTAGAAATTATCCTAAGAGAAAAAAAAGGTACATTCGAGAATGTGAGAAGAACTCCCTTGTTCATTTTTCGTTAAAAAAAAGACGTGCGCGTATTTTGAGAAAACGGAATTGAGAAGTGTCATTTTCCGGATGTGAAAGCTAAACGGAAAACGTCTATCTATTTCGTAGGCTTACGATAGGTAGAACTCGACCGAGTAATTGCGCAAGTTTTGTCTCTTTATGCTTATATTTTGCTTATGTTTTATATTAATTTTTGGAGAAATATTATTTACATAATTTTGAGTTTCAAGTCGTGAAAAAAATGGCTGTCAATTGCGAGTACTCCTGATATCCATATCGCGTTTGTGATAAGTCACAGTTTGTACATGTATGAGCTTCTCTTAAGAGCGTGTGAGCTAAAATCGCAACTATTGCAGAGTATACAGTAACTAACGCGGCTCTATTCTTTCAGACAGCTCCTATCGGGCTTCTACTGGTTAGTACAAAGCGTTTAAAATTGCGTTTGAAAATTTGACAGTCGCATCAGATACATACGTACACGTTACATGCGCACGCACGCACGCACATAGTGGCCTCATCTAGCTGATCTGTTTCGACTTGAGAAAGATTTGTGAGATCATATATCACATCATACGAGCATGCGCCTTTTTATAAAATTGCGACTCTTCAATTGTGGAAATTAATCTTTCGTTTATGAGCAAAAAATAAAAGATTTCAATAAAACAAAAAATATTACACATAATTACGAAATGATATAAAATAATAAATATCGAGGAGGCCGTCTGTAAAAATTGCTTACGTACCTCAAGAGCATTTGTCTCTTGCGTTTTCTGCAGAAATTTTTATTTGTCTATTAATAATATCGTTGCAATTCTCTCGCATTGATCTTTAATCGCGTTTAACTAACGGGCCATGTTCATCAAGCTTATAGTTCGTGAATCATCGCTATCGTAGTATCGTACTGACCATCGCCCTCGGTATCATCGAGCGGGGAGGATCCTCGAGAAATCGACGTGAGATCAACCTCGGCCGATTTATAGAGGTGCATGGATACGCTTCCGATCGTTATCACAGACATTCTAGAATCATTGCCTAATAGGATAGGTTCCTCTAGCGACCCGAAAGCGAAATTGTATCTTTTTTTTTCTTTTTTTTCTTCTTTCTTTCTTTTCTCGATCATTCCACGTTGATAAGAATCACGGTGGTGCATCGATATGACACGTTCTGATTTTTCTCACCTGCAGGAGATCAGGCAGGCGGCCGAGTTTCTCGAGCTACCGCAGTTACTCATGGTGCTCGGTAGCATACAGACGCGGGAGCAATTTGTCAATAGCGATCTCAATAATCGGTACAAACAAGTGGTCAGGCAACGACTGGAGGACATTTGCCTGGAGCAAGGTTGGTATCGATCGATGAGCAATGTAGCAATTGTCGCTTTCGATATAAATGTACTTAGGTCTCTTCGCCGATGTGATGTTCGAGTTGGACGATGGCAGCGTACCGGCCCACAAAGCGATTCTCACTGCCCGATGCGACGTGATGAAAGCCATGTTCTCTGGCGATTTTCGCGAAAGCAGCGCAAAAGTCGTAAGCACATCCTCTTCGCATAATATAATTCATTAAACCTGGTGCTTTTTAACTGATGAAAGATGTATTATGAATCGGTATAAGGGCTATGAATAATTATAAGGGATATTGCGATCGATAGATAGTCTTTCCTGGAGTACGGGAGTACACATTCCACAAGTTGCTGTGCTATCTTTATACGGATGAAGTGCCGGCAATCTCCTCGGCAAGATGCCTCAACCTATTGGAACTAGCCAACAGACTATGCCTTCAACGATTGGTGAATCTAGTCGAGAGCAGAGTGATCGAGGATCTTGATCGTCTATCGCAGAACGAGGGGAACGACGCCGTTGAAAACTGCCTGAGGTTGCTGGAGCCGTGCAAGGTTGATTTCCTCCACGTGTTCACATTAATTAAGACGCGATAATATACCGATTATCTATATTTAACGCTTCGTTACGACTTTGCAGCTGCATAATGCCGATCAGCTGGCCGACTGGTGCATGAATCATCTCTGCGTTAATTATAATAAGCTATGCAAAATGTCGCCTCGCAGCGTGCGGCTGCTTCATCCCGAAAATCAAGAGTATCTGAATGAGCACCGATGGCCACCGGTTTGGTACGTATCGTGACAATTTTCTAATTTTTCCATCAATTTCATTTTCATTGATATATCATTTTTATTTGATATAGAATTTATTTCATATTATTTTTTTCTTTATGATATATAATATATATTATAAGAGCTCTCGCTTTCATTTAATCCCTGACTTATTGATACTATCGCGATGTGTCCTCGACAGGTACTTGAAGGACTACGATTACTACCAGAAGTGTCTGGCGGAGCAGGATCGCGAGAATAAACCAACCTTGAAACGGAATCGCAACCAGTCCGGCTGCCTGTGTTTCTCGGGCTCGAGTAAGACCAGACGGGAGGGTAATACCGGGAACGGCGGTGGCGGTGGCGGTACGACATCGACGACATCGAACGAGACGCCGGCAGATCGGCCGCTCTTTGACGCCTCTACCGAGTCGGGAGAACAGGCCGTATGACAGGAGCCAAGCGGCCTCAGCCGCTCAGTCAGATTCATCTTGGTCCTACCTGTGCTCATGGTCTTCATATGCACTATTTTTACCATTTTGATACTGCTACAGATTTATACTTAAGCGGACCGCGCAGGACGAAGCTATGCGTAAACGCACGTAAATACATATGGATATAATATATATTACACAGACACACACTCACACACACATACACACACACATACACACACACGTACATACATACGCGATGCATAGATATGTATGAGCAAACACGAGAATACACACATATATACACATATATACGCCAATGATCAGCGATAAAAGCCGATCCAGGGCTAGCTCGAGATGTATTCGATTCTTAGCCTGAGATCGAATTCCAAAAATTCCCCCTATGACGTACGTAATTTCTTTCTCCTCTAACGATGTGCACCCCCATTTTTCGCGCCGTGTATTTTTAAAAGCGCGGCGCCGACGACTCGGATTCTCGCGGATGTCCGTGAATTTTTTCGTATTCGCGGACTTTTGCAGCTCACACTTTTATCTTCCGCAAGCGACAAGTGAGAATAGTATTTTTCGAGGGGAGATTTCCTACTTTCTACACGCGTTGATACTTCTGTGTGTATACATTCAGAGACAAGATTGCGTGGATGCCGAATACAAATAAAGATCTTTCTTCATTTAATCCGTACTTTCTCTTGTTAAAACGACGATTGTTGATACGAATAAACATATCCATAAACAATCGTATGTACAAATATATCCCAACATCTCGAAAAAAAATGGCAATCTATAAGAAATAGAGAGGCAAAACTGAAGTAAAAATGTATTATTTTTTATTATATATAAAAAAATACAATGATAACTCCTTCAACTGCTCTTGTTCAATTTTAGTCAAAAAATTTTAGTTTCAAAGATATTCTTCATGTGAAAAGCATGAAGTCATATCAAGACACTTAATGATATGATGGGTGTGAAGAATAAGAAGAATGGATAAAAAGAAGGACTAGCTGAAGTAGTTATAGGGTTGTTTAGAGTTGTCGAAACATGTGTGTGTTGCATGTGATAAATTTATATATCGCATATGCAGGCTTGTCGATTATAAAAATCAGGAAGTATATAATAGGTTCGAGTGTCCACTCATTGTTGTCCCTGATTGTATGTCGTCAACAGCGGTCTTCATCGATATGCAACGCACTTGCATCGCGCGAATGTCGCCGCCTTCGCCGATGCAACGTCGATTTGATGAAGACCGCGTGTTGCATCGTCGCGATTAGCATCGATCACGGCGTGATTGTCGTCTCGGTATGATTTCTCGGTGCGTTCTCTCGGTGGACTAACGATTATTGCGACAATCATCCGCGATCTGCCGTTTGACAATTGTGCTAATTATTAGGATTTCGCGTCTAATTTCGCAAAAGGAGACGTGGAGCGATGAACGAAAGTCCCGAATACTGAGTGTTGTATACGAAAACGCGAATATAGGAGAGGAAAAGGAAAACGTAACATTGTCGATGTGTTAGACTGAAGAAACGAGCAATAGCTTTAGTTCGTAGCGAAGCTAATAAAGCGCTATCGTGAAATGCAGCGAATCGGTCTGCCAAAGTCAATCACTTTTCTTAATCTGCTGTCAATCAACAGAGAATTTTTGACAGAGACAAGCTGGCGCTACCAATGGCAACTGGCCAAACTGTTCTCTCGTTTTAATTAAAGCAAGCAAGACGTGATAAACTTTGGAAAGATTCTCATCAGTTTTACGCTATTTTACGGTATAACGGTATTGGGCATTTACAAATATATTTACAGGGAAACACAATTATTGATCACTTGAGAAATATTTATTCCTAATTATTTGAAATAATCTATAGAGATCAATATGTTTATTATATGTCAATTATGTTTGATTATATGTGATAAACGTGGAATTTTAATTTTATTTACACAATTTTCGCATGAACAATGTAAAATATAAATAAGAAATTTAGCAGATTTTGTATTAAAATTTAATATAAAAGTTATTGTTTACTTTTAAAAATCTATCATATAAAAAAATCTGCGACACTGAGTTTAAAGAAAAAAATATGCTGCAAAAGTGAATAAAAACTCTCGCGCTAAATGAAAATTTACATGACAAGTGATCAATAATTACTCTATACATAGAATACTAAAACTGTCACCTTATAAGTGTGTAGCGTAATTTTAAATTACCGTAAAGAGATATGAATTGTTTTTCACATTTAAATACAATCAGAGCCACTGTAAAGTTATCTTTAGAAGACGCCTTGATCTGTATCAGACATCTTTTAAATGCCTTTTGTAAACATGTCTTTTGGACATTTGTGTTTGAGAGATAGCTTAATTACACATAAAGTGATAGTTTAGATATTCTACGCCATTAGTATCGTTTACTCGAAGACGCCCAAGACTGGTACGTAATTGTTTAGAAAAGACATGATATAAAAGTATATCATGCGTGTGAATTCGTGCAAATTTGTATTCTTTACGCGAAGAACACGTGGCGATAAATTCCGCTTCTCCTTCGTCCCATCCGTACAATCTGCAATAAACAAAGTTGCAATTTTTTTCATACAAAAAAATTCTCGCGCCACGAAACAATTGCACGGATCAGATCGCGTTTAATAATCGTCCATTTTTTCGCGAAGGGAGGAAATTAATCGCGGCCAAAATATCGCGGCAGCCGCATCAACATATCGATTATGATAATGAATCACTTCGATGACGTTACCATCATCGTCATCGCGGCGGTGATCTATCATAGATAGAGAGAAACGATTGTTTGTAATGGAAAGATGTAATGTACCTAGCATTAGGATCTACATAAGGCAAAGCTTCCTATCTTTTCGCCCACGAAAAACATCAACGCGTTTCAGCCGGGACAAAAAAAATCTTTTGTCTATTAATATTTTGTCTATTTATCTATTAATTTACCTTAGATCTGTGCGATTATTTATTTTACAGCACTTGAAATATGAAACCTGTCGTTAAAGTATAGTGTGTTTCAACAACGTTTATTCTGATCTAATCTTATGTGTGGCTCGTGCATTGTAAATCGAAAAAAAATTTGGATTTCTTTGCAAATATGTTTTATAAAGATAATTTTTGCACACGCAAAGAAATGTAATTTTGCATTACATCGGCCTGGCTGTGACGCTCGCGCGATTGAATTAGCATAATATTGATATTAATACTGATAACACGATATTAAAAATAGTCGTAACATGTAATCGATAATCTAAAATCAATGTTAAGAGATATTACCGTTAATAATTTGATACTTGTTAGCTCCGATATCATTAGCATAATCATCCTCGTACTTCTCAATCGATTCGCCCATACCCGCGACCATGAAAGAACTTGTATTGCTAAGGGAGAAATGGGGTAAGAAAGAGCGAGATGTAGGGATTAAAAGTGCGAGTATGGGACGGAGAACGAACGGGGAGGAAAGAGAGAAAGTGCAATGCACACGGATGAATTGACGTCCATATGGTATGTATGCATATTTGTATCACGAAATAATTGCATATGGACAATTAAAAGGCGAAAAGCTCGTAATCGTTTTCTTTAAATTAATATTTTTTTAACTGAAAATTTCTTTCTTTTTTTCCAATTCATTTTAAATCATCTATTGTTTTTGCGTAGAAGTCGCGATGAATCTTTCGTCACTAACACACACACACACAATCATAATAAATCGCGCTACTGCCCGATCTATAATGGAATTATGTTTAAGTGAGGAGAAAAAGAGTGCGTGAGAGAAAGAGAAAGAAAGAGCATTCGAATATAATAACTGGACAGTGATATGGTGATAGTGATGTCTGTTCCAGTGAGGAAGAATAACGTCCCACTTGTACGCTACGTCAATTTCGATGTCAATGTTCTCCTTCGTCGCTCATGTATATATGATATATTTAGTCCTAAGTGTATATATTTTATACTGAGAAATATTGGTAATAGTAGAATTAAGCGCTCGATCAAATTGATAGATTCACAAACCAAAGGATTCGTGCGCGGTTTCCTCGCATTTGCGTTCCTGAGTAAGAGTGAGAAAGAATAAACGAGGAAAGTGAGAAAAGAAATATATTTTCTCGTAAAACATTTATTTCCTCGACGTTATCAAAGAGTAATAAGGCCAGATAAAATAATATAATTAATCGCGTTTCATTAGTATTTTATTTTAATTATTTTTCGTTGGCTTTCTTTCCCTTTTAATATCGCTTCAATAACGTTATAAACATGTATTTCGATGAAACAAATGTAAATGATAATTGGACACTAAAAAAATAGCAATCTAAAAAAAATATCAAGTCTATTTATGCGTAAAATACTCCGTCTGAATTCTATCTAGAAGCTGGCATCAAATTTTTTAAATATTGTTCAAATAAGAATATTAACTTGTCCTCCAATCTTTTAATGCTTAAATTCATCATACTTTCACATCACGACTTAGGATAAATTCAAATTAAAATTACATTACTTTATGTTACTTCGTGCGGAAAATTAACAAATTAACAAATGCAAATTTTGTTAAATTTTAGGCACATTAAAATGCTGTTCAATAGAATTATGACTATTAAAATTTACTATTAAATTTTTCATCATTGAAATCTTCGTCAGAAAATATCGACGAATTTCTCTCGATAAGATATTGAAAAGTAATGACTGTGAAAAATACGTTATGCATTTTTAATATCTAATGATGCATTTATAATTATAATCTAGAATGCTTTACAGAGAATGGGATATCCGACTTTTATTATTATGTCGAGATGTTTTTCCATATCATCGATTAAATTACAATAAAATCTCGAATTCTTTTTTAATCGTACTAAAGCAAAGATATTATTGCGAATATTTTTTCAACTAACGAAAATATAACTAAAGTAAAATAAAAATGATTAAATATCTATAGATATTAAAAATAGCACAATATATGCTTTTTTTGTATTTAATGACTTCGATATTATGAGATATTCGATAAGATTGACGCAGAAAAAATTTTGTTGTATTTCTTTTAGGAAGACAAATTTCTTTTAAATATACAGAATTTTTTAAATAAAATATACGTATGCAAAATCTATAACGAAAAATTTAATATATTAAGAAAAATATTCAACTGCCTGGATAAATAAATGTAATAACTATACAGATAAATTTAATTTCAATTTATTTAATGTATAAAAAGTATCTCGAAAATATTTTAATACAAATTGAATTTATGCACTTTTCGTAAAAAATGGTTTATTAAAATGTTTTAATAAACTATTTAAAGTTTGGACGATTCAGGAATGTAACAGGTAGAGAAATGCGCTCATGTATGGCATATCTGCATTTTAAGTTTTTTTTGATTTGCGAATTCTTTTTTTCGCAACTATTTTACGTACTTCTCTTTCTTTACCGTTATTGTTGTAGCTGACTGACGATTTTGCAGATTGCGTTTTGCGATCATGCATGCTACTTCGCATTTACAATTAATCGGCACATTTTAAGGCAAGTCTGAGAAGAAAATGTTTTTATAATTATCGACATATAACACGAGAATGAGTAACGCACGTTAGCTATTAAATAAGTCTTATCTTATAATCGCATAAGAGAGAAAATTTTAGCCCAGAAGCATTTAAAAAAATACAAAACGCAAGATGAAGACGCAGAGAATATAGTATGAAAAAGATCAGCAGACAATCCATAATTTACTTCCCTAATTGATCGAACCGACGACTAATGTGTTTCTATTTAATCTGTACGCGCGAATGCGAATCGTCGTTCTACGCTCATCTTGAAGGGTGATAATAATCTTCGGCATATATAACATATGCACACATACACATATACGTATATACAACATACTATTTTTGTGTATGGACATATAAATATTTAGCAAATACTGTTATTTGTACGAATAATTTCATTCATGGAGCACGGGATATCTTTCCGCATCGTTTATGAATAAACAGATTTCTTTGCAATATGCCAAGTTAAGAGTGCTTTTTACCAAACATACTTTTAACAATGTTAATTATATATATCTTTAAGTAATTCTAAATTTAAATTTAAATTTCATTTTTAATTTTACCTTTTCACATAAATAAATGTAAGTTAAATGCATACATACTATAAAGGTGTGGAAAGCGTTATCATCGCATTCTTCACTTCATCATATAAATCTTTATAATCTGCATGTTCTTTTATAAGCACCATGAGACTGCCACGCTTTACACCCATCGCTGCACCAATATCCAATCTCGATGGAGTAAAGCAATAGGGAATATTCTTGTCTTCGCACACAATTGGTAAGTGACACATAATTTCGATAGGATATACATCTCCCGCAAAGACAACCAAACTAAAATAAGAAATATTTATAAATAACTATAAATATTATCAATAGAAATATTAATATCTTGCAATTGATGGGCAATTCACTATCCATTTGAAGAAACTCTAGCTTACCCAGTTTCACCCTTACGAAGGTGTTTCTGTACATCCTTTAAGCCATTGCGCAAATATGTTTTGTGCTTAGATGCTGTAATAAATAATTGGTTACATATAATCAACATATGTATTCTAATGAAAATATTATATGTTATATTACAGATTGTATTATATTATATATTTATATTCTTTCTAAAAACTAGTGATAATTGAAGCAGCTTACCTTTTTTTATGCACTTATAAATTTTTTTTGTTAATTTCTTAGGTGCTATAGGTTTAGCGATAGCATTCACGAGACGTAGCTTTTCCTCATAACTGACTTCTGGAGCATCGATGTTTTCATCCTTTACAATATTCTCATCAATCTCCATACTGGTATTTTCCTGCATTTTATGTCAAGATTTTATATCTTATTGAGCTTTCTGCACGTGTCTAAGCACCACGTTTATTTTCGAATGACCTAGCTTAACCTGTTTTAAATCGTGTTGTTAAGAAACTGTAGGAGCGTTCCGTTTCACGCATGAAGCGGCCTTTTCATTGACGCTACTTTTTAGCGTCAATGAAATTGCACCTTAACAGTTGGCAGCCCTACGAGATAGGCTGTGCAGCACTGCGCGTATATAAAATAAATTTGAAATCGCTTCTAGCCTAACCATCTTCACGCGATCGACTTTATTTGAATTGCACGGCATCGCATCGAATTATGATGCGGCGCCGATTTGTTCGAACGTAATTCGGGACATCGCGATGCTGTATAAGCGTCGAATGAGCACGAATTGTCACGCAAATATGATAAATCACATCTACTCACCGTTCACCGGCTGTTCCACAGGCCGCTCCACTCGCTCGCCTCGGGACTCGGGTCCCATTCCGATCTTGATGCACACGATATCATCAACGCGAACGCGCGACACTTTATTCGACACTCCCGATATTCGCTCGCATCCGATAATCATTATCAAGGGCGCAAATAACGCGACGCGACTTCGCTCCATCTTCGCGATCGCGCTATCACTGAACTGTGAAAAATAGCTGTCGCGCACTTTCACCGACATATTATGAAAGTCGCACGATCATCCTTGGACACTCTCGACGCTCGTTCACTCGCGTATTCGTTTAAAAACGGTTAAAAGATGCGAAAAATGCGGACGTACGACGATCCGTGTAACTGCGTATGACTCCGATTCCCGTATGACGCGTATGACGTAGCAATGACGCGTATGACGTAGCAGACACGCGCCAACATGGCGGCCGAACCACTGCGCATTTGTTTCTGCGCATGCCTTTCCTGCGCGCAACTTTGATTACTGAATATTGTCTACGGCTTTAATTAATAGCACATAATGATAAATATATAAAGATGGAATCAGTTAATCATATTGGTCATATATGTAGACTTGCCCGAAGAAATAGAGAAAAAATGGAGAGATATTTTTAATTTCTTTTTCTTTTAGTAAAGGATGTAAATGTCTATTCATAGGCTTGTTCTTTTTTTCCTCTTTCGCGCAATTTCGATTCAATATATAACGTAGAAAATTCATAGTATATTATGCTAATGATATGAATTACGAATGATTCGATTGTTTTATCGCGCTTTTCCAAAGTCAAATCTTATAATATTTACTTTTGCATTTTAAAGGACTAAGAGCGAACTAAATAAATAAATAAATAAATAAATGATGTTCAGAAAAAGAAAAAGAAGACTCATAAATAAATAAATATATAATAAAGATTGATATTACTATATACATATATATCATACGAACTTGTACGATCTCAAAATCTTTATCTTTTATTCCGTTACTCGAATACTTGTACGTTAACAGATTTAGGTTACACACATTGCATAAAGCTTCGATATTTTGCAATCTTCATCTCATCTCAATTTGGAGAAGCACGTGCATTCCTTTCGATAAATGTCCGCACAAAAATAAGTCGCGCTTCAAATAAATAAAAGTCACTCGATACTGTGCACCGATCTAATCGTACGAAATATATTCGACGATTTTTTTTGGATCACTGTGTTATCGGAACGTGCGATCAGAACGATTCGAAAACGATTCATATACAGAGTTTGAAGAGATATCCAATGCACGACAAATTATACTTGCGTTGATTAGTATTCATCGATACTAAACTGTTAATCGCGAGTACAACACTATCACACATTTTTTTCGCAAAGAACGATATACGAAATGCAATATTTCGCGCCTCGCGTTTCACTCATGCGGCCATCTTTCTTTGCTGTTTAGTATCGCCATCTGCATTTGCGTTAAACGCCAGAATTACGTAGTCAAATATTTCGACTGCCGGTAAAGTCATCATTTTGTGCATGTCGGTAAATTGTTAGAATCGCAAGCATGATTTTTTTATTTGTAGTATAATAAAATATGTAATTAAAAATTCATGTAAGAAACGTATTTTTAATCAAATTACATATACTTATTCCGTTACTCTAATACTTGTACGTTAACAGATTTAGATTACACACATTGCATAAAGCTTCGATATTTTTCAATCTTATCTCATCTCAATTTGGAGAAGCACGTGCATTCCTTTCGATAAATGTCCGCACAAAAATACATCGCATTCATAATTCACTCTTATATTTAAGATCCTCTTAAGTAAGTTGGAAAATACAACTATTTTACTAACTGAACGGAATCTCAAGACGCGATCTAGATTATTTTAAATATAAATATATATATATATATATATATATATATATATGTGTATATACATAAATATATATGTATATGTATATATATAAATGTTTCGTCACGATAAATCTTGTAAAATCAATGATCTTTAATAGTATCTCGTCAGTGAAAAAAGTACTTTCGAATGTTACACTTTATGTAGCAAATTTTTTATATTGTTCTATTACAATTTTCATTAACAGCAAAATATTTAATGCTTGATGCTTTATATGTATATATAATACAATGTGCTAAATTATAAAGTGTAACATAATTAAAAAGTATTACTATTATTAGTCGACTTAATTGCAAGCTATTCCTAATTACTACACATGTTTATCCGATGCATCTTCTTCTTCAAATCTTTGCAATGTTGTGATCTGTCGCATTCCCAAGACTATAGGGACTCGTGCTTCTTTCTTCTTATCGTTTTATCATTCTTTTACTCTCTTCCATCTTATTCAAAATATATAATAATTATTAACTAAGTATTATAATATATTATAATATAATATAATTATTATATTAATAATTAATATGTATAATATATATTAATATATAATATATATTAATAATGTATAACATAAATTAATATATATAATTAATTAATAATTATTAATATAATAATTATAATTACGGTATCTCTCTTAGTCTGACTCTTTCTCTTTGATCTATCCGGCATGGGTGACCCTACCAGTAATTAAGGCCGGTGTTTACACAGTCTTATATTTAAAATCGTTTTAAGTAAAATTTAGAAAATGTTTGTTATTTCATTGAGATTGAACAGAATTTTAAGATGCGATCTAACATTATATTTAAGATGATTAAATATAAAAACAAATTGTATGAATACCGGCCTACGTTACCGCCGGCATAGCTCTCCGGATCATTAGAGTACTCAAACCTCTTCACCCGGCAAATGCCTTCGTTAAGGTGGAGATACCATCGAAGAGGTATAATTTTTATTATAATTATTTTATTTAAATATAATAAATATAATATTATTTCATAAAATAAAGGGAAATATACAATAATTGAACTATAAAGTATAACATAAATAGTTTATAAAATATTATTACAATATATAATAATATTTACAACATATACAATATATTTATATAAGAATTTATAATATTTATATAATTATTTATAATTACAATATATAATTTATAAATATAATTATAATATTTATAAATTAGTACAAAATATCTTATGATACAAAATTACACGAAAATGTCTGAAATGCACACAACATTCATTCAAAATTAAATCAAATGATTTTCAAACAGATGATTCAAATTATTCGTGATACTTATTAATTATCGACTTTTCATTACAAAACTTATTAAGGATTGCGTAATATGAATAAGTTGCAATGAAAAAATCGCCAATACATTTACATTATCTATTATATTTCTTCATTAATTATTATATGTTATCATCAATTATATCTTTTAATTACAAAAAGAAAAGTATTTATATTGATGCATTTTAAATTTTTAAGTAAGTTTGACACGTGAAAAAATAAGCGAAATTTTGTATAAGCCAACGATCAAGTAAAAAAATAATAATTGCAATTAAATATAAGACGAAAATATCTCGCGGATAATCCGATGATAACAATTCGAAAGATTAAAATAATTTGGCCCGATCGTCAGTTAATATCCGACAGGTAGAAGAACAATATTAAATAGAGAGAGCGACTTTTTTTTAACGTATGTTTTACGTAGAATTCTATCGAGATTGATTCGCGAAGGAAAATTAAATGACTCGTTAAATGTCAAGAGTTCCGCTGCAAAATGGAACGAATCTCAGATCTTCCAGACCACTCCCAATAGCAATGATTTTAACATTTCAATGAATCAATGACAATTATCATCATCATCTTTCATTCACAAGATCGAAATTTACACGAAAAAATATTCTTCCATTATTTAGAAATGTCTTTTTATTAATAAATAATAAAACTCTTATAATATAACTATTTTTATAGAACTGTGTATGGTTACAAACGAGTATGTTTAAGAATCATGAAACATATGCGCATTTATCGCTTGTTAAATGTACGAGTATAATAATTTTCGGGTACCAACTGTTCGAGACGAGTCGAACCCAATAACAGCAAGATTTTGAAAAATTTCGTATTTAAATATTTCGCGATGTAAAATAAAAAATTATTAATTCTTCTGTAATATATTTAATAATATTTTAATATGTCGATATCTTACTGATATCAGGGTACCCATTCGACTTGCCTCGAATTTTTTAGTACTTGTACATTTCATGTATATTTGTGTATATTAATATAATATTATTGATATAATATTAACGAAAGAAAAGTTTTATCAAATGTGTCACATTTTGCGCGTATATTTCCTGCATAAATATCTAACAAATTTTCTATATAAAGTATCAAGCGAAAGTTATACTTAAAAATTAATATTAACGGCTTAAAATGGCAGGATGTCCAACACCTAGAAATGATCTCTTAAAAGAGACCAAAAGTAAAGTTAATTAAAAATCAATTAATAAAACATATTCGTTCGTAACCATATATTTTGTTAAAAAAAGTTCAGAGATGAACAAATAAATTACAATTTAAATTTACCTATTTGGTAAATTAATATTTATCTTTATATAATAGCTATATCCATGTTCAATGCTTTACTACTAACAATAAGTCTTTTCCAAAGTGATAAAAAATTTTTAAACCGATATTAATATTAAGAATAATAATAACAGAAAAAGATTTAATAAAAGAAAAAAAAATTCTTTATTCAAAGTATATTATTTAATTAT